GACAGACTCGAGCCACTGGCACTCAGCAAGATCTTTTTTTTTTTTTTTTTTGCTTTGCTTTGCTTTTCCTTTTTTACCTTTGGTGATACTGAGGCTTGAACTCAAGACCTCAAGCTCTTACTCAACTTTTTGGCTTACAGCTGGCACTCTACCACTTGAATCAAGCCTCTACTTCCAACTTTTCACTAGTTAATTGGAGATACGAGTCACAGAATGTTCTGCCTGAGCTTCAGACTACAATCCTCAGAACTCAGCCTCCTGAGTAGCTAGGATTACAGGTGTGAGCCACTAGCACCTGTTTTACACAGTAAGTTCTTAACAGACTAAAATGGATGGATGGATATAGTCAAAGAGACTTGAAACTGTCTCTATATTGAAATAAAGAAAACATCTGGGTGACTCAATTCAAGCCCATATAAGACATGAGAGGAAGCCAGGGAGTTACCTCAAGAATGGGAGAGGAAGCCAGGCGCTGGTGGCTCGCGCCTGTAATCCTAGCTACTCAGGAGGCTGAGATCTGAGGATCGCAGCTCAAAGCCAGCCTGGGCAGGAAACTTCATGAGACTCTTATCTCCAATAAACCACTAGAAAACCGGAAGTGGTGTTGTGGCTTAAGCGGTAGAGTGCTCTCCTTGAGCTGAAGAGCGCAGGGAAAGTGCCCAGGCCTAGAGTTCAAGCCCCATGATTGACCAAAAAAAAAAAAAGGAGAGGAAGATGGGGCCTGTCGGGGGGGCTTGTCTCTGAGAACACCAGAGAAACTGCACAGCCTTAACCCGACTGGAGCCTGACTAGCGCACCCATCCCAGGACCCCACCCACCCTCCTTTCCCTTTCTTGTCCCCTTTTTATACCCCCTCCCTTAGGCCTCTGAGAAAAGACAAAAAAAGGCAATGGAATTCCCATCAAAGGCCATGGACACATGGTAAAGAGATCAGGGCCCTTGGGACCCAGCTTCCTGGAGGTATAAGGCCTCCCCGCCAGCCCGGCTCCTCTCTGGGGTGGGCGTAGGTGAGGGGGGGGGGAGTCCTGGCCTCCTCATATGTCAAATGCCAAGCAGCAGGAGGTCAGCCTGAGCAAAGCTGGCCAATCTGGACTGTGTGTGCACGCACGCACAAGGCGTGAGGCGGGGGAGGGGCAGCACAGAAATCCCTGCCTTGTGTCCTCGGTCAGGGCCACAGCCAAGCTGTGACCATCTGTTGTGGTCTTGAGAGGCCAGGCCAGGGGCTGGCACTCTTGAGGGGTAAGCCCCTTCTTCCTCCCAGCCTTCTAGTGTTTGCAAAAACTTCCATAGTCAGCATTCAGTTTCATCCCTGCCAGATAACCATCACTTTCCTGGTTTTATGGAAGAAGTAATAGAGGGTCTGGTCTCCAGGCACAGCCACTTGTCCATCCCCTGGGTGCTGAGCTCCAGACAAAACCCCACCCACCCACTCTTCCAAGAAGTCTTCTATACTGATATCCCAAGGAAGCTCCTGCAATGCCTCTAAGTCTAAAGGCCCTCATTCACTCCTTTCCCATTAGAGTGTCTACTAGTGGCCCAGGACTTTCCATGGACAGCTCAGCCCCCTGTACAGGCACAGGTAATCCCAGGCCACAAAGGATCCATATTTCCTTTGGGACAGCCTGGAGTCAGAGCACAGTATGGCTGGACGAAGGGCCAGGGCCACACAACTAGAGAGGGACAGGGATGGTATTTGGACCCCAGGGTATTGCATACACTTCTGAAGCCATCCTCTGATCCTGACTGTCCAAGTGGCAGCCATTAGCTAGGTGTGACTTTTTATATTTAAATTCATGAAGACTTGGTAAAATTAAAGCCTGGCACTGGTAACTATAATCCCAGCTCCACAGGAAATTAAGATCTGAGGATTGCAGTTTGAAGCCAACTCAGGCAGGAACATCCATGACTTAATCTCCAAGTAACCACCAAAAAGCTGGAAGTGGAGCTGTGCCTCAAGTGGTAGAGCACCAGCCTTGAGACAGTGTGAGGCCCTGAGTTCAAGCCCCCGGTACACACACACACACACACACACACACACACACACACACACACACACACACACAAAGTTTGTTAACTGCAGCATTCCAAGTGCTCAATAGCCACATACTGGCTGTCATATGAACATGGAAAGTTCTATATCATGATCCTAACTCCCAGAGCTGAGCTCTGCGGCATGGTGCTTCTTAGTTCCCAACCTACTCCAGCCTGAGTTTCTTCTGGAAGTATAGCAGAGCCCTCCTTAGGCTTCAGGTGGCCTTCCTCAGGATAGACTCTTCCTCAGGCTCCCCAGTCACACAGGGCTCCAGCGTTCCTAAGATGTGGGCCTGGCCTCATTGGGGCCAGCCCCTCCCCCAACCCAGCCCCTCAGGCCTGACTGGGGAGAGGAGAGGCAGGCTGAAGCGCCCTAGACAAGGTAGGACAGGGCAGTTTGTCATCTGGCCCTCTGGGCTGTGCTTCCCTCCCCCTTCAGCTGCTCCACACCCCTCCCCCACCCTGCCCCCCATCCTCATCCTCATCCAATCCCAAGGACAGATGGGGACCAGCGGGGAAGAAGAAATGTGACCACAGTAAAAGCATTCTGCAATAGTAACCTGGGGGGGGGGGGGGTTCCCAGCTGTGTCCCCTGAGGCCTGGACAGTCCTTCATGTCCAGTGTTGATGTCTGGCCAGGCCTTGGCTAAAATGACTCTCAGTGAGGGAGGGGGGTACTGAGGAATCAGAGGAGGAAATTTAAGGATTTGTAGGTATGGAGCAATTCAAGCAGACACTACCCCAGTTAAATATGCAGTCACCCTTCCATCCATCCATCCATCCATACATACATACATGTATACATACATTCATTAAGCTCCAGGAGATCGCGATGGAAAGATAGATGGGTGGGCTCCCTAACCAGCTTGATAGTAGGGACATGGCTTGTTCTTGGCTTGATCTTCATTCCAGGCTGGATGAAGATGCTTTGTCTCTGTCCGGTGGTCTGAGCAGGATGATACTATGCAATCTCCCAAGCAGGCATGCAGTGTGTGTGAAAACACACACACACACACACACACACACACATACAGCTGCTACCACAAACTCCTTCCCATGGTCACTCTGGCCAATCACAGCCCTGCAGGATAAGTCCCACTGTCTGGTGCCCCCAGGGAATGTATTAGCACATTTGAACCGCTCAACCTGCCACTGACAAAGCCTAGGGCTTTGGGAAGCCCACAGCAGGAAGGGTGGGGGCCTGTGGGGACCTGGCCTTCCCTCCACCTCCCAGGGGGAAGCTCAGGACCAGATTATGCATTCTGGGGCACGGAGGAATTTGGGGGCCCCAGCTCTAGCAGTGAATAGCAATCCATAAAATCCCAATTTGCACACTCACTGATCAAAAAGCCTACCTACTACCCCAGGATGGGGGGGGGTTGATCTTCCTCACTCCCCCCTTTTTTTGTTTTTGTTTTTTGTTTTTGGTGCTAGTCCTGGGGCTTGAATTCAGGAAGTGGGTGCTGTTCATTAGGTTTTTTACTCAAGACTGGTGCTCTACCACTTGAGCCACAGTTCCACTTTGGCTTTTTGGTGGTAAATTGGAGATAAGAGTCTTATGGACTTTCATGCCTAGACTGGCTTGGAACTGTGATCCTCAGATCTTCAGCCTCCTGAGCAGCTAGGATTATAGGCATGAGCCACAGGCACCCAGCTTCTCCCCCACTCTTGAAGATCCTGGGGTGCCTAGTGCTGGAGGATGGACTCCCAACATTTTACACAAGACCCAGTCTTACTCCCCCGCCCTCCCGGGGTCAGAGCTCTGCCTGTGCCTCCTGTGATCAGGCTGCTCTGGGCAGGGGGAGGGGTGGGTGCCTCGCAGCCACCTTTGTCCACCCTCTGTGAAGCACAGCTCTTTCCCCCACTGCCCCCTCTTTTGCACCCTGGGGCTACCTCGCCTGACTTCAACCTCATCAAAGCTGCTAATCACTTTTCCAGCTCAGAAGCCCTCCTCTTCTCCCTGCCCCCTTCTTCCTAACAGCCCAGCCCTGCTCTCCCAGGACCCTTCCCGTTGTTTCAGCCCAGGGATGCACTTCCTCTGTCCTCCCAGACTGCCTCGTGGCGCCATGGAGGCAAGCAAGCAAGCCACAGGTCTTCTAACCCAGGCCCTCTCCCTGTGGCAGCCGAGGAAGATGTATCAACCTAGCTATCACCCACAAATTTGCCTCCTGCCTAAGTTCTGAGCAAGAGAATACTATTCTGGTTAGCGCGCTTTCTCTCTTGAGCCAAAGAGTAGCTGTGGGAAGTTCCAGGTGATCAGCCAAGCACTTCTGGAAGGACTGACAGCTGATTTGCATAGTGCCTCACAGCTGCAGGAGATAGGCCCAAAGGAACCTTCCCATGTTTACTGAGGCCGGAAAAAGTGAGTGCACCCTGCCACACTGCTCTTCTCACTGCCTTCAAGCTCTAGTTGCAGCTAGTTGGAGGCAAGTCAGAAAGGGACTCGGTATCAACCCTCACTCTGCTTCCCACAGGACTGGGGGCCTGCTCTCCATCGTGGGAAGAGGGACTACAGCATGAGTCCATTCACAGTGCCTTCCCTTCCCCCCTGGCTGTTTTCACCCCCAGGACAGCTGGCCCCCGCTATGGACTGAGTGAAGGCAGGTGTCTGAAGGCCAACCCCGAAGCCCAGCAGCCTCTCTAGCAAGCTTGCCGCCATGTGGAAGCAGCGGCCCTTCTTCCCTCTCAGACCCATTTGTTGTAAGGTATGAGTTCTGATTGTTAAAATAAAGGACAAGTGTCTGGAGGGCAGCAGTCCCCAATGTCAGTCAGCTGAGGGCACCAATGAGAGACTTGGGATGGAGCAGGCACTAACTGGGCTCCTCAGAAGCTACCACAGTACTTCAGCCAGCCCAGGAAAGCTACAGGTTCTCCCTCTGGCCAAAAATAGTCTCCACAGAGACAAATACAGTTTATAATCTGCCTCCTGGACCCAGAAGATGGCTATCCCACAGGGGTAAGTTCTCTGACCTGCTGATCATTGCTGAAGATGCAGTCTGAGTTCCAAAGTACAGCTTTCCCAGGCTGTCCCAGCCAGACTCTTGACACCTGTATTCTGAGACATCAATCCTCACTTTCTCCTCCATTAATAGAAGAAGCAGCCCCACGGCCCCCGTCACTCAGATCTCAGCCTCCTAAGTAGCTAAGATTACAAGTGTGAGCCACCAGGGCTCAGCTCCTTTGGAATCTTAATGAGACACCTAGGAATTCAGATGAGAATTTGTAAGGTCCCCTGAGGTCCACTGAGACCTCAGACCCAACATACCCCAGGAAACCTCTCTGCCTTCTCCATCTAGTGTCTATCTGCCCACCTAGGCTAGGACTCTGGATTCCATATATCTCCACCTCTCATAGCTGCCCATGCCAGGGGATCATTGAAGTTCCACTGACATTTGCCCTGGAGTGATACCACATATCTCACCCCACAGCCAGTCCCACCTCTGAACTCACCACCTCTGCTCTCTGCCCTCCTATCCCTTCTCCTGCCTGGCTGCTAGAGAAATCCATCTTTCCAAAACACCAAAGCCACTTCCCACCACCCACAGAGGGCAGGAACCTCTTAGCATGGCCCCAGAGCTATCTCTCCCTCCCACCTCAGCCTCAGATTTTGCTGTTCCCACTTCTTAGCCACATCAATGTACTCTCTGACCTCCTGTGTTCTCACATGGCCAGGCTTTTGCTCCATCAATCCAGAACACCTTCTCTCCATGTTCCGCAGTGGAGACACTCCCACGCTCCTATGTCATTTTGAATCTGAAGCCACTGTTGACTTCCTCTTTGGGGCCGGGAGCAAGTTACTTCCTTTTTCTTTCCCCTGGTCGGTCTTGGGACTTGAATTCAAGGGTCTAGGTGCTGTCCTTGAGCTATTCTGGCTAACCACAACTTGAGCCACAACTCCACTTCCGGTTTTCTGAGTGGTTTATTGGAGATAAAGAGTCTCACAGACTTTCCTAGCCAGGCTTGCTTTGAACTGCAGTCCTCAGATCTCAGCCTCCTGAGTAGCTAGGATTACAGGTGTGAGCCACCAGCACTCTGCTCCCAGTTACTTCTGTTTTGCCACTTAAATACCTCATTGAGGGTTGATAGCACTTGTGAAACTGGGCTCTGAGATCCTGCCCCTGCTCAGCCAACCCTGCCTGGGAACCACTCTGCACAAGTGAGCAAGTGGGCAGTTTCTGGCCCAGCATCCTTTGCTGCTGTCCTTCACTAGTCCTTACCCTCCCTCAGAATCTTCCTTGATAAAAAAAAAAAAGAAAAGAAAAAAAGCCAGAAAGACCAGGGCCCATAAACTAGGCTGCTGAAAACGTATTTTATGAGAACCATTAATTTGTTACAGTGCAGATAGTCCTCTGGAACTGCCAATGCATAAATCAAAGATATTTAAGAAAAGCATTTGTAAAAGTGTTTCATCTGTACCGATGCAGTCTCAGTACTGTTTCATGTAAGGGACATCTTTGGATGCTAGTATCCACAGAGGTCCTGCAACCAGCGTCCAGTGGACAGAGACAACTGTAATTATGTAGGGCGGCAGGGTTGAGGTTGCTCAGAATTGAGTCCTAGGCTTGACACGTGCTAAACACAAACTCTATCATGGAGCCACACTCTTAGCCTCTAGCTATTTTTTTTAATTACTATTTTACCTTTAAAAAAAAATGATGTGTTTTTCCATTGCGGTCAAAGACTCACTATTGAACCCTGTGCTTGCTGTCTCTGCCTGGAGTCAGCTTGCCTCCAGCTCCCAGGCTCACCCTCATCAGAAACCCGCAGCACGGGCCTGTGCCAGGCTATTGGGGGACTCACAGAGCTGAGGTGGGGTGCAAACACACGCACCTAGACTGTCACCTCTTCTTCTGCCCAGTTGGACACCACTGCCATCTGGGGCAGGACCTGTCACCTTATTAGGACTTGGGAGATTGAGCCAGAGCTGAGCCTTAGGCTACTTTTACAAGTGGGAAACCTGTGGGCTGTTCTTAAAAACATTTGATCAATATATAAAATAACCCGGGTGTCCAGGAAGAATGAGAAACATTGGAGTAACAGTTGCATCCAGGAAATCCTCAGCTGTCATGAGACACAGGTGTCAGCCCCAGAGCCCAAAGAGGCCTCAAGTCCAGGAGGCCTCAAGTCAATGTGGGTGACAATGTGGTCTCCAAAAGGCTTAAGTTTAAAGTCTAAGTGATCCTATTTTTTCTGGCCCCAAATACACTCCTTTATGGTGGGGTATGTGAGACACGCCCCAATGCAGGGGGCTGGACCAAAAGGTGAGGAAACAGGCCTAGGCAGCCCACCCCTCCCCAGCCCTGGGGTGCTAAGCTGAGTCACTCAGCTATGCAGCCTGGCCGGTCCACCTAGGTGTGAGTGGGTAGGGCTGTCCTCAAGGGGATAACCCCCACACCTGCAGAGCCACAGGGACCAAGAGAGCAGGAAAAATAGGGGGAGGGGGCCAGGCAAGACTAAACAGCCACAGCCACTCCCCTGTCGACCTGATCTGGGTGGGAACTCAACCAGTCATTCAACCCTCCCAAGAGCAGGCCAGCGTTCCCATGTGACAGATGAGTAAACCAAGGCACAGGTCACTTGTCTAAGTCACCAGGTGAGGACCACCCATCCGGGATGGCTGATTCCAGATGTTTCTCTGTCATTCTTACTTGGCAGTTAAGAAAACAGATCATCAACAGAGTTCTGGTGATTCGTACCTGTAATCCTAACTACTCAGGAGGCTGAGATCTGAGGATCAAGGTTGGAAGCCAGCCCAGGAAGGAATTCATGAAACTCTTATCTCCAATTAATCAGGAAAAAAAAAAAAAAGGAGATGTAGAGATGTAGCTCAAGTGGTAAAGCTCTAGCCTTGAGCAAAAAAGCTTAGGGCTAGTGCTCAAGCCCGAAGTTCAAACCCAAGGATAGGCATAGAAGAGAAAAGCATTAATACTAAATGTGCAAGGCCCAAGGTTCCACCCCAGCATGACATAAAGAAAATGAATGAATGAATGAACAAATGACATTATAGCAAAAATGGGCCATTGACCCTGAAGTCAGCTCTGGCCAGAAGGTGAGTCTGGCCTTCCTCTCTGTGAGTTTCTACATTTGTCCAGGATGAGGGTCCTCGCCAACTTCCCTCACTAACCTCTGGCCAGATAAACTTGCTTATGAATGACCCAGTCTGCAGCATATGACAGCAGCAGGAAATGGACCAAGACATCTGACCACTAAGGAAACATTATCTGTGAGGAGCTAGGTGGAAAAGAAATTTCTACTGGCAGATCAGAGTCCCCAGTGAGCCCAGATGTCCCAACACAGGCCAGCTAGGTGAAGATAGATCAACATTAACACGAGGGAAGAAGGTACAGCTTAAAGCGGTCTTTTCTTTCCCCACGGATCTGGAAGGAACAGACACCTCCCTCAGACTCTTCAGCATCCAGGGGTCAAACAGGGCAGTGAGGCGCAGGTGGACTGGCCCCAAGCAGTGTCCCTTGTCCCAGTTTCCTGCTAATTCCAACTGACATAGCCTCTCCTCACACACAATAACAACCCAACGCCTCCACGGAGGCAAATCTGGGCCCTCCCCCTCATAGTTTCTACACTCCAACCTGTCTTGTATATATACATTCCACAGTTCTGAGGGTGTCTGCCCAGCTCAAATCCCCTTAGTGGCTTCTATTCAAGGAATACAGGGGTACTGAAGGTAAAGCCTGTTCCTCTCCTTCTTTGGTGGTCCCCAACATCTTCTAAGTTTCTTGAAAATAGTACCAAATTTAAAAAAATAGGAGAACAGGCACCAGTGGCTCATGCCTGTAATCCTAGCTGCTCAGGAGGCTGTGGATTGGAGGATTGTGGTTTTAGGCCATCCTGGGCAGAAAAGTTCCCTAGACTCTATCTCCAAAATAACTAGTAAACAGCAAGGCTGGAAGTGTGACTCAAGTGATAGAGTGCCAGCTTAGCAAGCCAAGACCCTGAATTCAAACCCCAGTACCAGGTGGGGGAGGGGGGAGGAAGGGAGAGGGGGTGGGAAGGAAGAAAGGAAAAAGTAAGGAAAGAAAAAGAAAAAAAGCTTCAGATTTCCACCTAGGCAGGAAGTGAATGTCTCCAGTTTGATACTACTTTGCCACAGGCACCTAGTATGAATTGTGGCTGTCAAGCCCTAGATATTTTATTCAAATAGTCATTTATCCAATTCTTCATCATCATCATCATCATCATCATACTGAAATTTGAACTCAGGGTCTCAAGAGCCTCAGAGCCTGATACATAGATGTCCAATGGGAATGGGGGAATGTCAGGAAGCCAGGAATCCCAACCTCTGGAACCTGGCAAAGGTAGAGACAGGGACCTGTGCAATATGAGGGTTGGGAGGTAGGTGCACAGCATAGGTGGGCTGAAAGTGAAATATAGATTCTTTGTTGTATCCTTCATTAATCTCAGCATTGAACTGGAACAGGAAGGTCTAAGTCTGTCTGGGCACTGACATGGGACAGAGGGAGCATGCTTCTACCTCCTAGAATCCTGCAGGCACCCAAGCTAACCAGCCCTCCTCTTGACCATCTCTTGAGCCCTGCTCTCTACCCTGACTCTATTTTGGAGCAGGCCTCGAAGATGGCTTCAAAGATGGCGTTGTCCTTCATGGGCAGGACCTTCACACATATGCTCTTCTCTTTCTCCTATCTGTTATGTAAATTAAATAGGTTATCCATGAATGAGTGGGGACTAACACTATCCTGGGAGGTGGTTCTACAGAGTTATTTGTTGAGGATTACACCTGATTTGTCACAGGCACAGTCAATGCAGCTCAAGACTTTGTCCCTAGAGTGGGGACCAAGACTGGTCATCCCAAAATGGGATTGGGGATATGAACTCAATTCTCCCACTTCCTGAGAACTCCCCACCACCCCGAGGCCTCAAGGTGAATTCTAAAACAAGTCTGATTTTCCACAACCCAATACCAAAAAAGATGATAGGTATTTAGCTGAGCCCTTTCCTTGACGTCACGAATCAGAGAAATGTCACTGCAACAATCAGAGCCCTGAATTTTTTTTTGGGGGGGGGAGGGAGGGAGGAGGAA